CGTTGGCAGGTGATCAAACCTCGTACCATGTGCATGGTCGGTGGGAGCCCTACCCACTGTGCCACCGAAGCATGATAACCAAAATATAGGAAAGTACTGGTCACTTCGACTACAGAAGCCTATAAATAATTGCATAATTCGCATCTGCACCTAAATGCATGAAAATAGTCTTATATAGTGCTTCTCTAGACATGAACACGATAACCCATACTAAGCGCGAAAATATATCACGGCATAACTAATTGGCCTCCCGGATTGTCGGAAATAGAAATGAATGTTCTTACGCAGTGGGAACTCATCTCCTCCAGGATAACGGCATTAAGTCTCAACTCAAATAGCAGACGAGATGCAAACTTCCGATACCACGAGCCAACCAACAACACATAGAAAGAGACTTTCACATGTATATAAATGGAGGAAGAAAGTCGTGTGAGTGAAGTGATATGATTATGGGTGACTGTTTGTACTCGAAACGTCATCAGGCAATATTACTGTACGACACTATGTGATTTATCAAGAAGTGGATCTTAGTTCAATCTACGATGCGTTGAATAAATAAGTGAAGAATAATGATGGAGACGAAAGAAAATTCTACATAACGCCGAAGAGGAACTGTCTACGGGAAGATGAACCTCAGATCACTATATCAGATAAGCAGATCACATTCTAGCATGAAATCAACACATAACATCAATGTAAGATAAGGGAGCGAACCTAATCATCAATGAGGAGAAGCGAAGGCAACAGTGAGCTGATTAATTCATAGGATTCTTGAACTAACCACCACTTAAAATTCGTTAAGAATACCAGGAACAGCTTGAGAACTCCCAGCCAACACAGAAGAAGCGACAGATATCTCCACACCGCTATTTCAAAAATTTTGGAGGGAAGGAAGCATACATTAGGGGGAAAAAAGAAGTTCGTTAACTAAATTAGATCACAGTCGTTTCACCGTCAGCAGTGCGCTCGTTTGTAGGTGTAGATTGAGACACATGGTGGACAAGATAATTTTCAAGGGAAAAGAGCAAGGCGGCTTCTCTTGCAGTGTGATTATCTACTTGTACACCCTCTTAAATCATCGTCAATATACTCATCTTTCAGTTAACGCGTTTATTCCCCCTTCGCTAGTTGAGGAGGTGCTAAAGGTAGTCTGGCCACCAGGTTAAGTTGTCCAGGCCAAAGAGTCAGCAGGTAGTGTGGTTAGCGCTCAGATCTGGCAGGATTGATAACCACATATCAATTGTGAGCGTTATATCGAATCCAAACCAACCGAAAACGAGTTCTAAATCATCCAAGCACCCTAAATAACTGGTTTCCTAGATACCCACTGATTAAACGAAGACTACTTCTGCAAACTTCCAAAGAATGGCGGCCCTTTCAAAAAATGGTATCACGCTCCAGTTTGTTTCAAGTAAAATATTAGGTCACGTCATTCTGCAGAGACTGAAAAGTGTTGTGAATGCAAATCACCACGCCGAACAAGTTACATGCAGTAATAGCAAGTCATCAGCGGATAAAATTGTCACGCCACGTATCCTCATTGTACAGAACATAGGACGGAAGTCAAATCTCTACCCGCAGCTTCACCGATTTTGAGAATACCCCAACAGTGTCGGGAGCAACGTCATTCGGAAACCGCTTCAACACTATAAAATACAATGTAGCAAAACTTTTCCGACCTAATCCAACAGCCATACGATAACGCCACACGTCGTGTGATTCACGATCGGGGCTCAGAGAAGCCTCCGGGGTGAGGACAGGAGCAAGGCAAGTACGACATCGGAAATTCTGGACTTCGCGGACCTTTAATGTCGCAAAATCTCCGATACATGTGCAACGGATCCAACAAGTTTTCAGAGGAGGCTAACAGTTAAAAAATGACTTCAAATTAACACAGTAAAAACAAAGGTGGTGAAGATAGCCAAATGATAACAACAACAAGCACCAATTTCTATGGACGGAAGCAGTTTGAAAGAAGTCACTTCTTTCAATTATCTAGGCGACATCAGTATGAGGAAGTAGAATCTAGGGTGTACAGGGCAAGACAGATCTTCATTAATCAAAACTCATTGTGGAAATCTACTGCATTCAACATAAAGAACAATATTGTGATTTTCAAAAGCAATGAAGAATCAACCTTTCTATCTGGTTCAGAGACTCGGTGCGTCACCAAAAGTATTTCCAAAGGGCTACTAAGGCTGCCTTCGCCCGATTCTAACCAGAAAGAGTAAACAACAAGAAACCGTGGCGACGAATCAGAGATCAAACGGATATTTGGATGGAAAAAATATGGATTGAACGCTGAGGAAATGGCGCGGTTACATCACGTGACAGACGAGTTGAACTTGGGTCCGAGGATGACAAAGGGAACATGGCTTAAAGAGGAAACGAGAGCCTACTAGCCAGATGAAGGACTGCGGAAATCAGTATAAAGAAGGGATGTTCTTGTATTACTCGAAACCTACGTGAATAGTAATATATATCACAAATGTCTGGTGACTCCGTGGCATGCAAACAACCCAAGAACAGATATACATTCCGCTTTCTGAAATGCAGTTAAAGTGCAGTTTTTATCGAAATGGATGCCACGGACGAAGATAATTTACTTACTGATATTAACACATTAATTTTATTCTAAAGGCATTTTCGCACTAACCACAACATCTCAATGCATATATTTCTCTTGTAGTGAAATAATGCAGAACAATGATCACAGACTGTGCCACTGCGTCGGTGGCACAGTGGTTAGGACTCTCGCCGACCATGCACATAATCTGCGGTTCAATCCCTCCCGACGCAAACCTGATATCTATGGTCGGCCTGCAAAATTTGGGCTACCGATATCCATGCTGAAAATTCCATACTTGTACCAAATATACAGTGTGGAATCAAGCTGTAATAAAAAATAATAAAATAAATGCAGATTGTTATAGTGCACAACAGACCACTAGAAATAAGTGGCACTTCTTTCTTCTCTCAGGACATTCATTGTGCATGGTATGACTGAACTCTTATATCCAACCGTGCAAGCATGATTTCTGAACCAAAAGGCCCTAGTTTTTCCCTTGAAGAAGGGGAGTAGGTGTCCGACTAGACGACACATTGCTTCAAGGGAATTGAGTATCCGTCAATAACAGCGTTACTTAGATCTACTGGGCCTGCATCACTAACTCTGCTTACAGACTTTTAGCTCCTACATCATACGGCATAGTCTTCGTGCAGAGTGCCAGAGGTTTGGTGTAAGGAAAGTTAGAAAAAGAATGATTAGAATTAACGAATAATTAAACTTGGAAACAGAGATTGGCCTATTTACTCTCTCAAACGAAAGCGCCTAGAGAATCTGGATACTGGGCAACCAACGAGAAACTGAAAAGTAACTAATGCCGAAATCACTAATATTCGGTTTATTTTGTTCATGAATGCAGCCGACTACACTGGTTTATTGGGACTACAGAGGTCTTCACAAGCTTGAATCACTCTAGAAACTGATACTGGCACTCTGATTCTCAGACGGATTTAACTTTGGATCATTTGAATAAGAAAGCTGGTTAACTTGTGGTTGAATGAGAACAACGAATGCAAAAACATGTCCAGCAGTTACCTTCCATTTTTCAGCATATATAATGGGATAGTAGTTAAAAAACTAACTCAATCCTCAACATGTATGGCCCACTTTTAAGTTAATATTTGATATAGTATGGGTTTTAAGACTTCAGGCATGAATCGGATATTGTAATGGTTGTACTAAAGAAACGACTGTGGTTTGTGAGGGAATTCTCCTTATGGAGGTAGTGCAAATATTCATCTGGATTTCAAGCAAGGTTTAGAGCAGAATGAGTACAGCGTAAACGTCGTTTGTTACTGTTACAGCAAGATGCGAGTTTGACGGGTTAGTAGTGACACATTAACATAGTGACATGTCAGTGGTGAGGCGTTGAGATAATATAAACACTAGCGAGATACTAACACAGCGTATTAGAAATGCGGTAAAACGAGCATTCCCTGCTGCTGAATTACGTTGTATCTTTAAGACTACTTCTCTTCTGCGTTCGGGAGTAAAAGACAAACTACCTAATTTCGCTTCATCCATGTGTATTGCTCCTGTGGAGCCAGTTACATAGGCCGCACAATTAGGCGTGTTTCTCGTCGAATTTCCGAACATCACCCTGCATGGTTAAGCAAAGGCCAAACAAAATCTATCCGTAGCGCTATTTTGGCTCATCTGGTGGATACAGAACATAGGATTGATGTTAACCAAGCTTTCAGAGTTATTTATCGGATACCAACAAATCTCAACTTCGCCTTAAGAGTTCGATTACTAAATATTGCTGAGGCTGTTGGGATCCACATTAAAAAGCCTAATTTGTGCGTCCAAAAGAAGTTAGTTCAGACGCTGTCCCTACCTTGGCCATCTAGGTGTGAATGATTCTCAATTTTCGTGAAAATTTCCTAATTTTAGTTGATATCCTACTCGCTATTATATCTTTATTACTATTATAATTTAAGTATTTTTAGTGAACTGTAATTGCATTGATCTTGCTTTACAAATCGATATTATTTAAAAAACACTAATATTGTTATTAACTACCAACCTTGAATATTCTGTGTATATAAACATGTATATAATTGTAGAGCCAGAAGAGGAATTTATCGAAAAGAATATTCTTTGCTCGATTATGTTGTGTTTTATAGATATCTGAATGAATATTTTTGCTATATTAAAATAAATCTGAATCTGAATGTTGAACCGATGACTTTGAGGTGTTATGACAGAGATACGAACTGCCTTTTTCTGCACTACGCATTTTTTTGATTCTTGGATTTTTATTAAGCAGAACATGCTAAACATAACACTGTCAACAATACCTCCCAGAACTTTACAAATGTGAAGCCTTCAAGGAATGTACAAATATTTGTTTATATAAGGTCGAGTGAAGGACACTGGATGTTAGAAATATAAATTCAGAGCGACACTTCCGTGGCAATCGACACTTGTGAAAATGTCTAAAGTCCGCCATTTGGAAAGAGACGTAAGTGGGTGTATTCTACCTGTGTATATTAGCATTTCGTATAATCCTTGGTGTACATATTTCAACGAAGATGTATTTTTAAAAGTTGAGACATACCATGCAACCACTGGGAACTTTTATTTTGATTGAATGTGATTAGTGTTTGACCTGGGTATTTTTTCAACAGGACATTTTGAACTCCTCTGGGTATTCTGCAAATCGTTAAGGATATTTTAGTCACTACGCAGCAGATAACCAGAATTTGAATCAACTGATGGTGCTAATACGACGTTTTGTAAAGGGGATTTACTCCTTTACACAATCGTGACTTAGACGAATGGAGTTACTGGCGTCAAGTGATGTACTAGGCTTTTCTATCTGCGTTCTAGTTTCAACAGGATGTGACTGCGTTTTTAAAGTTTGTTTCGCGTCGTTATGGGTTTTTAATATCGGTAACTTATCGCCTATATACTTGCTTTGTTCACGGAGTTTAACCCAGTTAGAAGACATCTTGATTGTAAACAGAAATACAATACGTATGTGCCACTTACGCGCTCTCGAATCTCCTCTTAAATGCAAATAACTTTTTGAGTGCAGGTTATCTCAGCGTTATGGGTGTTTTTTGTTCCTGTTTCTAGTAATTTAAGTACTAACCTATGCAGAGAAAATTTTCTTCACGTGTCCTTACATTTGTTTCTAACGTCTCGACTTTCTTGTCATCATAGGACGAGTTTGACAATCTAATCAAAGAAGCAGGGTCAAAACTGGTCGTGGTGGACTTCTTTGCCACATGGTGTGGCCCATGCAAGATGATTGGACCCCAGTTTGAGAACCTCAGCTCAAAATACGATAATGTCGTGTTTGTGAAGATTGACGTTGATAAACTGGAGGTAAATACTTTTGCTTGGTTGTTTAATAGCGCTTAACGCACTAATTTTACGATATTGATTTACGCTACAATCCACCCTAACTTTTTGTCATTACGTTTCAGGGTATCTCAACCAGATACAACATTAGTGCAATGCCCACATTCATTGCTCTTAAGAATGGTCAGAAAGTTGGCGAGGTTGTTGGGGCTAACATCGGCACTGTTGAAGAACTTATTAATAAGAACAAGTAGCGCAAAATTTCTCGTACTCAAGCAAATATCATCTTTCAAAAATTAAAAAACATTTAAAATAAACTTATACGACTATGAATTATGGCTTTTCGTAATTTGTGAATGTTAATATTTATGGTTTAAGTCGTCTGTTAGCTTGTTAGTGTAGGTATTAGGAAATCACAAAGCTTACTGTCTTCAGTAACGTACATGACCATATTTTAGATAGATTGGCACTATAAGCGAAGTCATCTTATCACTTCACTTATGTCTGATACGCTTCAGGGACATTCTGCATCTGATTAAAGTGAAATTAGCACTAGATATGAATTCAGAATGCTAAAGACTTCGATGGCTGGTGGGCAGCCAGTCTTATCCTGACTTTTGTGATGTCAGAATAGTTTCAATCACTACGTCTGATTATATTTAGTCAAAAATATTCACATTAGTCTAGTCCTATTTGTTTTTACATTCTGTAAATGTTTTGCCCAATAGAGCTGAACACCTTATGAAAATAACAAAGCTAATTAAGCGGTGTGTGCTGCTTGTAAGTGGTAGTTACAGTATCGTCTCCCAGGAAGCAGTGATCATTTGTATATACTTCAGAAGTCAGATTAAATCGTTACGATTCTGAAGGAAACCTTAGGAGTGAAGAACGAAACATGCACATTACAGAATGAATAACTTGTAGGTAGTGAAGTAAAACTTGGGCACTGTGGTAGAGTGTAACTCCTTTATGGATAAGATTTTGTTTTGATACATCACTGTGATTTATCAAAATAAAATCTTATCCATATTGGAGACGGTGAAGTCATCGTAGGGTATGTTTTATCCCTGTTCCCAATTGTATTGTCTCGATAGATGTAGATATGACTGCGCTAGTTCTTTTCTCTTCAACGCTGTCTCTGCATTCTGAAATTATGTAGTTCAGTCACTTCAGCCTTTTTTTCATCTACGCAAAATGTAGTTATGTACTTGCAGCGTTCGAGTGATATGTTATAGTCCATTATATTGAAGCAATTATGTAAGAGTAATGATCAACTGTAACAAAAAGACAGTCAGTTAACCACCTAAGGTGGTGACCTTAGGCGAATTCATCATTTTCTGCACCCTATTGGGCTTCAGTTCTTGAAGTTATCAAAACATTTAGTAAGTTTTTCTACAAGATGTAACAAACTGGAATACTACTGTTAAAAATGGTCTCAGTTATGTTAAAATATAGTGCAAGATTATATGAATAGTCCCTCTACTAAATGTGCCCTCAAAATGGCAAATATAAGGGTGGTGCGAGTCAAACACTCCAGTTTTGCATCCCGAGAGAAAGGACGATGGAAAATCGCGAGACTTATTTGGGATCCACTAATAATCTGTTGTCTATCTGAATGAAGACGAACACAAATTAATGGACTACATCGATTAAATTTCAATAAGATGTGAAGATGGAAATCTAAAGAATACTGCTACACCGTAGAAATATGTTTTCAGTTACTCCGGTATACCATTAACTTCAATCCAAATGTTAGTCTTGTCGTTGGTTCCAAAATACTGTGATATTTCGATGAGCTCGAATGACCTGAATATAAAAGTCCAACCTAACTGACTGATCTGTCAGATAAGTGATCTCCTTCCAGTGTTGAACAGCTGTCATCGGTGGGCTAACAGTACAACAAATTCGAAACGATTGATTTCAGTTGGGCATAGAAAGCCACTACATGGAATTCTGAGAAATGCCGATCCGCCCAGTTATATGTGCTCACATTGTCTTGATGTGTGTGCTGAGTGAAAGGTGGCGACTCGAACTGCTGCACATCGGTGCAAAGTTCTATGTCGAAATGAGTTAGTCAGTCAGTCGTGAAGGCTACATCGACAAAATATTGTTCATCATATCAGACGAGAGCAGATTTCCAAAAGAAATCACTGGGAGAGACTAAATTGAACAATATGAAAAATAGGTAGTACAAACACTGAACCACGCTAGGAACGAATTAATGGTCAGCTCCAAATTGTCTGAGAAACTTTGAAATGAAGCAAAGCTGTGGGATCCGATAGAATGACTCCAGAGGTGTTTAAGGATGGCGTCAACTAACGTACTAGGCAGTGTCTGGGAATCTGAGAAAGTCCCTTCGGTTGGTGTAAGTCACTGATTATCCCGATATACAAGAAGGAAGACAAGTCTTCCTGTGATAATCACAGGGGGGGATTAGCTTGACTAATATAGTATCTAAGTTGAATAACAATGCGTAGACTAAGCGGTGCTCGGGAGGAACAAACACGAGAGAACCAGGCAGGCTTTAGACCAGGAAGAGAGTGTATCGATTTTATCTTCACCCTTCGAAAGATTCTGGAATACAAGCATACTTACCGGCATCCAACAATCGTTATATTTCTTAACATAAAGGTGGCATTCGATTCTGTCGACCGAGAAGTACTGTGGCGATGCTTGGCTGTAAAGGAAATGCCGAGAAAATATAATGCATTGATCAGGGCAACCACTCCAACCCATGCTGCCAGCCAGGTGACAGCTTACGGAGAGTTGTCATCCGACGGACAACTAGTGGTGTCCGTCAGGGATGCCCACTTTTCCCGTCCCTATTCAATTTCATCATAGATGCACTAATGGACTTGACCCTAACTGACTTCGGCGACTCGGGGATTGACTTGTTACCATCAGGGAATAATCTCGTTGACTTAGAATATGCAAATGATGTAGTCCACCCTCCTAGGTGAAGGCGCTGACAAAATGCAGAGTCTTTTGAAAATCTTGAGCTGCAATTTACGAATGTTTGGCATTCGATTCGCTCCCGCCAAATGTAAGATGATTCTACAGGACTGGACTACATTGACTCACTCCTAGCTTAAAGATGGAGAGTGAAGTGGTAGTGTGTTGACCACTTCACTTATTTGGAAAATTGCATCAGCCAGTGCCGTTGGGTTGATCGCTGACAAAATTTTGGCACCGATACAGAGGGCTAGTTTCGCATATACCAGTTTACATCGTCTCTGGCGTAAGCGTGATATCTGGCTATCGACCAAAGTGTACTGCTCACCCGTCCGTTCTGTCCTCCTTTATGGCTGGCTATGAATGAAATTTGGCCATTAAAAGTGGAAGACGTGAAAAGACCAGCTGTCTTTGATCATGGGTGCCTGCGTTCTATCTCCCGTGTGAAGTGGTATAATAAGGTAAGCAACGCCGAGGTTAGGCGTCGAGTGCTAGGTAAGAAGGGGAAAGCAATCGACGGGGCTGTGAAGTTACGCCAATTAAGATGGTTAGGATATGCGTTACGTATGCCTAGCCATTGCCTTTCTTGATGGGCAATCTTAGCTGACATAGGGTCAGGTTGGAAACGACCTAGCCAAAACGTGGCTTCATCAGTTAGTGAAATCCACAACACTTAGTTTAATCCAGCCAGGTAGGAAGGTGTAGACATCCTAAGTGGTTGGGATCCTCAGGACGATAGAAGCCAACAGCTGGAGACAATTGGTGATATGGCTCAAAATTTTTCTCAATGGCGCAGTTGCATTCACTCCTTGTGACGTATAATTTCCAATAAAACTATATTGTTCTTCGATATTACTATTCTTTCTGCTTCATATCTCGCTTTATTATCTCTGTTTTGCATTTCTTTTTACTTTCTTCTCTTGTTTTGTGTGCTACATGGAGTGTGGCGACTCGAACTGCTGCACATTGGTGCAAAGTTCTACGTTGAAACCAGTCAGTCAGTGTCTGAGAAACTACAGCGCACGGGCTCTATAACACCCCGGTTATATGGACTCCCGAAGGTGTATTTAGAGAATGTCCCACTGTGACCAATCTTGGACATGACGAATTCATCATTCCACGCTAATGCCAAATGCCTATCAGAAATTCATCTACCTATAAGAAACAATTTCATACATAATGTATCAGACTCACTTGAATTCGTTGATTTAATAAGTGACTTTAATGTATGACGAAAGAGGACATTATCTCTGAATGTCATCTCCCTCTTCATCGATTTCCCTCTCACTGTAACCACTTGCTTTATGTCCAAATTCATCGAGAATAATAATCCGGACGTCGGTGCTACAACTTGATTACTGCCTTCAGTAGCTCATCCTCTAACTTATTGACAAAAAAATAAATAATAACAGCTTTATTCCAAACAGTATTTGTGCACAGGTATGGAATTTTCAGCATGCATTACAATATATTGCATCTAATTACCTCATAAATTTTATAAGATCTTAAATCAAAGAGCAACATCTAAAAACAGAATCTGACAGAATGGGGAACCTATAACCACACCATCAGTTTGTCTAGAGTATTCCTTATTGAACAAGAAATGAACACTCATTGTACACCTTGAAATAAGTTCCTTCATGGAAGATACAAGAATACCAACGTCTATGTTCTGCTCAGTAATCTCATCACATCTAAAATCCACTATCTCCGTCAACGGTACACTGGTGAATAAGGAGGATACATCGAAGATATCATAAACTTCTCATTGACACTAAGATGTCATAATTTTTCGACAAATTCAGAACTATCGTTTACATTACGTTGTACCAGCTCGTTATGCAAAGGCTTTAGGAGCTTCACCAACCATTTCACAGTTGCGTGATATGGGGAATTACACATATCCAGTGATATAAGAATAGAACTTGCGCACTGTAGTGCAGTATAATTCCATTACACATAAAATTTATTTTGACAAAGTTGTGTGAGTGCGTTGATATGATTATGAGCAGTAATAATTTGTGCTCTAAACATCATTAGTTAATATTACTGTGTAACACTGTGAGACTTTATCAAAATAAATTTTACCCATAATGGAATTACACATATCCAGCACTGGTCAAAATGATAAAAGAGTCGGTGGCACAGTGGTTAGGACTCTCACCGACCATGCACATGGTCTGAGGTTCGATCCCCTGCCGACGAACACCTGATATCTATGGTCGACCTGTGAAATTTGGGCTACCGATATCCATGCTGAAAATTCCATATTGTACCTAAAATACACTGTGGAATCAAGCTG